AAAAAAAAAAAAAAAGCCAGTGTGAGCAACCTGGCGAGACCCTGTCTCAACAAAAAATTTTTAAAATGAGCCAGGTGTAGTGGTGCATACCCATAGTCCCAGCTACTCGGGAGGCTGAGGTGGGAGGATTGCCTGAGCCTGCAAGTTAGAGGCTGCATGAGCTGTGATGGTTGCACTGCACTCCTGCCTGTGTGACAGGGTGAGACCTCGTCTCAAAAAAAAAATTTATTTTTGGGGGGGGGATGGAATTTCATTCTTGTTGCCCAGGCTGGAGTGCAATGGCAAAATCTTGGCTCACTGCTGTTTCTACCTCCTGGGTTCAAGTGATTCTCTTGCCTCAGCCTCCCAAGCAGCTGGGATTACAGGCATCTGCCACCACACCTGGCTCATTTAGTATTTTTAGTAGAGATGGGGTTTGCCATGTTGGCCAGACTGGTCTCAAACTCCTGACCTCAGGTGATCCACTCTCCTCAGCCTCCTAAAGTGCTGGGATTACAGGCATGAGCCCCGCAAAAAAAAAAAAACTTTAAATCCAAGTAAGTCCTCACCCATACCTGCCACATTTCATGTGTACAGTGACCACCTGTGGCCAGTGGCTGCTTCATGGGACAGTTCAGATATAGAAAGTTTCCAAAACCACAGAAAGCTCTATCCTGGAAACTTGGATTGAACAGCACAGGTCTAGACCAGGGTTTCTTGATCTCGGGTCTACTACATTTTAGGGCCAGGTGGTTCTGTGCTGGGGAGACACTGGGATGTTTATTTCATGGCATCCCTGGCTTCTCCCCTCTAGATGCTAACGGTACCCTCCCCAGGGCTGTGACATCCCAAAATGTCTCCAGATATTGACAGGTCTCTCCTGGGGACAGAACCACTCCCAGCTAGACAGCATGGGGCTCATGCCTGTAATCCCAGCACTTTGGGAGGCCAAGGTGGGCAGATCACCTCAGGTCAGGAGTTCAAGACCAGCCTGGCCAACATGGTGATAACCCATCTCTGCTAAAAATAGAAAAATTAACTGGGTGTGGTGACACATGCCTGTGATCCCAGCTACTTGGGAGGCCGAGGCAGGAGAATTATCACTTGAACCCAGAGGCGGAGGTTGCAGTGAGCTGAGATCGTGTCACTGCACTCCAGTCTGGGCAACAGAGCAAGAACAACTCTCAAAAAAAAAAAAACACTCCAAGCTGAGAACTACAGGCCTGGCCCACTGAGCACAGCTCCATTCCACAGATGGGAAGACTGAGGGCTGGGGACACACGCAAGCCCTCAGCATCTTCCTCTTCCAGAGCCGGAGCCTCCAATGGAAGGGAAGGAGACTGCCTCGCTGGAGAAGGAGGTCCCCCAGACGCAGGGCAAACGCATCAAAGTGGAGCCCGTCCCGAGGGAAACCAAAGGCTCAGAGGACAGTGGCGACGAGGATCCCTCCGGCCACCCGGCCCCACCGCGGCCCGAGTTCACCTCCGTCATCCGGGCAGGGGCCCTGAAGCAGGACCCAGTGCGGCCGTGGGGCCTGGCACCTCCCGGGGACCCCCCGCCTGCCCTCCTGCATGCGGGCTTCCTGCCGCCCGTGGTGCGGGGTCTGTGCACACCGGGTGCCATCCGCTACGGCCCGGCGGAGCTGGGCCTGGTGTACCCGCATCTGCAGAGGCTGGGCCCAGGCCCCGCGCTCCCGGAGGCCTTTTACCCGCCCCTGGGCCTGCCCTACCCGGGGTCTGCGGGCACCAGGCTGCCGCGGAAGGGGGACTGAGGACTGGAGAGCCGCCGGCGCTGGGCCCTGCTCTGCCCGTAGCCCTGAGAATTAAACGCCGGCTCCCTCCGCAGTGGTTTGGGCTCCAGGCTGTGAGCTCCTCTGTCCTCCGTTTCTGTCTCCCCGCGGGTCCTTGTCTCCCTCTCCCGCCTCCCGGGTTAGTCCGCTCCTGGCCGCCCTTCCCCAAGGAACACGAACCAGCACTCGGCATCTGGAGGAGGGGAGGTCAGGTTTTAATGTCCCAGTCCTCGGGCACCGCCGTCCAGCGCCTGCCAGGCCCCCCGGCCGTGTGGTTCACTCAGATGGTGGCCGGCCCACATCATCAGGGCCTTCCGCGGAGGCCGCCCCGTCGTCCTCGGGTACCAGCTCCACGTCCAGCTCCAGCTGCCCCATGTAGAGGCCCACGGCGCACGCCCAGAGCAGGCTGGCTGCCAGCACCGCACCGACGCCCGCAGCCGCGCCCCCCAGCGTCAGCTGCATGGGTCCCCGCAGGGCCGCTAGGCCCACTGTGTACGAGGCGCTGCCCCACACCACGCACAGGCCGCCCAGCAGGAAGAAGCCTGCGGGAGAGGCAGGGTAGTGCCAGGCCCAAGGTGGGGCGGGGGGGAGGGGTTGGGGGAGGAAAAGATATCCCGGGGTGTGGGGAACGGTCTGGAGCAAAGCCAGGATGGGAAGGAAGCCAGGAACAGTGGTAGGGTCTGGACTGCACCTTTAAGAATCAGATCGGAGGGGAGGGGACCATAGCCATGTCCTGGGCCACCCACTTGTGGGCCCAGTGCCCATGGGAGGGGTGTCATCTGGTAGGGGAAGAATAGGGGTTCTGTACTTACTTCTGGGGATAGGACGGGGAGAGTCTAGCCTCACCAGGGCAGAGGGCAGGGGGCAAGGGCTGTGCATTCCCTGGATCCCTGAGGGTGGCAAGAGTGGAAGTCTGCACTCACCATAGGCTGCTTCCCGACCCATGTCACTCTGCATGAAGGAGATGACCCCGATGCCTGATGCCAGGAGGCCATTGCGGAACCAGGAGAGGAAGGCTGCAGGGAGGGGGTATGGGGGATTAACATCACCTGCAACCCTGCCTCAATCCCCCTCACCCAGTCAAAGTAAGGGCCCTCCAGCTCCCCCCACCCTGTCCAGCCACAAGGCAAGCCCACCCCAAATCCTCACGTCTTCCAGTAAGCCCCTCACCTAACCACATCCCCCACACCCTCTCTAGCCACCACTTTAGAGCCCCTCTCCCCCAAACTCTGCAACACTAAGGATTCATGGGCTGGGCACAGTGGCTCACACCTGTAGATCCCAGCACTTTGGGAGGCTGAGGCAGGCAGATCATGAATCAGGAGTTTGAGACCAGCCTGCCAACACAGTAAAACCCCCGTCTCGGCCGGGCGCGGTGGCTCAAGCCTGTAATCCCAGCACTTTGGGAGGCCGAGGTGGGTGGATCACGAGGTCAAGAGATCAAGACCATCCTGGTCAACACGGTGAAACCCCGTCTCTACTAAAACTACAAAAAATTAGCTGGGCATGGTGGCGCGTGCCTGTGGTCCCAGCTACTCAGGAGGCTGAGGCAGGAGAATTGCCTGAACCCAGGAGGCAGAGGTTGCGGTGAGCCGAGATCGCGCCATTGCACACCAGCATGGGTAACAAAAGTGAAACTCTGTCTCAAAAAACACAACCCCGTCTCTACTAAAAATACAAAAATTAGTTGGGTGTGGTGGCACACGCCTGTAGTCCCAGCTACTCGGGAAGCTGAGGCAGGAGAATCGCTTGAACTCAGGAAGCAGACATTGCAGGGAGGTGAGATCCTGCCACTGAACTCCAGCCTGGGTGACAGAGCAAGACTGCCTCAAAAAAGGATTCAGGATGATGGTTCCTGCAGAATGTGGGGAAAAATCTAGGACCCAAGTGGCTGAACCTCAAGAAGCTTAGAAGCCATGTTGGGGCCAGGCGCGGTGGCTCACGCCTGTAATCCCATCACTTTGGGAGGCCAAGGTGGGCGGATCACGAGGTCAGGAGATCGAGACCATCTTGGCCAGCATGGTGAAACCCCGTCTCTACTAAAAATACAAAAATTAGCCGGGCGTGGTGGCACGTGCCTCTGGTCCCAGCTACTCAGGAAGCTGAGGCGGAAGAATCGCTTGAACCCAGTAGGCGGAGGTTGCAGTAAGCCGAGATTGCACCACTGCCCTCCAGCCTGGCAACAGAGCAAGACTCCAACTCTGAAAAAAAAAAAAAAAAAAAGCCATCTTGGCCAACCGCTTCCCTCTACGTGTACCCCCACAGCCTGCCGGCTCACTTCTTTCTCAGAACTCTGGGACAAACTGTTTCCTAACCCAAGCTGCTCTCTAGCCTCCCCCTGCCTTTCCTTCAAATGCCGCCATCTCCTACCGAGTATGGCCTGGACCAATCCCATCCACATCCATCTCCATTCAAGTTCCTGGCGTGGACAGCCCACTACAACCTATATCTAGATGCCCAGTCCTGGCTAGGTGAGGTGGCTCATGCCTGTAATCCCAGCACGTTGAAAGGCCAAGGCGGGAGGAGTGTCTGAGCCCAAGAGTTAGAGACCAGACTGGGCAAAAAAGCGAGACCCCATCTCTATCTAAATTAAAATAGCCAGGCGCGGTGGCTCAAGCCTATAATCCCAGCACTTTGGGAGGCCGAAGCAGGCAGATCACCTGAGATCGCGAGTTCAAGACCAGCCTAACATGGAGAAACCCCGTCTCTACTAAAAATACAAAATTAGCAGGGTGTGGTGGTGCATGCCTGTAATCCCAGCTACTCAGGAGACTGAAGCAGGAGAATCACTTGAACCTGGGAGGCAGAGGTTGCGGTGAGC